GCTCAGATGCATCGCCGACCGCCGTCTCACATACTGCCCGTCGGGCGCCAACACTACGGCAGACCCGACGACGACGGGTTGATGGATGAGTGGGACCAACAATACTGGCAAACGTTGGTCGGCGAAGACATGTCTCACTACACGCCCCGACAGTGGGAGTTCTCGGACCGGATTCAGGCGCTGCCACTACCGGAGCGGCGGACATATCTGGAAAACCGGGCGGCGGTCAACCCCGACGAACAGCCCCGGGCGGTGACCGCGCGTATGTTTACGGGCGTACGCGACCCGAACGTGGAGCGGGCGCGTCAAATACGGCACTACTCGAGGGAAAATATGGGACACCGGGAGCGCCCTATGCGCCAGAACTTGTCGTGGCAGGGGCGCAGGGTGGAGGACACCATACCGGCCCACTATGTTGACCGCCACCCCAAATGGGAGGGCAGACCCGTTGAACCCCAGTATTTTAGGTTTGCGAAGTTGAACGAAGGCCAGGATGGGGAGGAGGAAAATGCAGGTCACCACCAGGATTACGATTTCAGCGAGTTGGATTGGGATATGACCTGGCCCCCTGAATCCCATTAACCCCTCTACCCTAGTTCTACCCCCACTCTCCCCCTCTGTCCGGTTCGTAGGTTATAGCGATTCATTTACAGCCAATGCTTTTGAAATAATCAGAGTTTTAGTTATTTTATAGGAAATTAAAACTGTTTTATTGAGTTTTATTATTAGTTATTATTATTTATATAATTTAGTCAAAAGCCGGTATTTCCGATCAAATTTTGGGTTTAAGCTTGATAAAACTTTTTTATCTAGATATAATTTTACAGGTGTTAGTTGTTTTTACAATGTTGATATTTTATAGTTTTATCATTTATTAATTGTTTAGATGGTAAACATAAGTTTTAAATTTTAAATTGTTTTTTATTGGTAATTAAATGCCTAACACTATTGCTAGAAATTAATTTAAAGGTATAAACGTTAAAATTTAATACAAATTTTAAAATTATTTAAAAATATCAATTTTTATAAACTTTTTATAAATATTAATACAATAATTTATTTTAACATTAGTTCAAACTTTATTTTCAAATTGATTTTTAAAAAATTATTTCTACTTACTTTTCAGATTAAATGTAAAAATAGAAAATATTAATTGAAAAAATTAAAATTAAAACAAAAACATTATTGATAAATTTATCATTATATTCAAACCATATCTAAAACATGGTTTAGAAATAATAATCACATGTCCAATTCAGGCACAATCACATTAATTTGCACTAAAAAGAGCATATTTAATCTAATATTTTGCACTATAAATAGTTAATAGATTATGTTTTTATTATCTGCAGCGATAAAATTGTTTATTAAATAATCATGTTTGTTTAGCGTTTATATCCCTTGTGATAATAAACGGTAATATTATCATAAATTAATAATACTTGAAAATCAAATGAAAAATTTATCTTAATGAATACTTTCATTTATTAAAGTATTGTAGTGAGAAATTTATATTCATCATATAAATTAGATTAGTACAAACTATTTTTAGTTTAATAAATTAGTAATACTATTATTTAAAATTATTAATTTAAATTAACACAGATATTTATATTAAATATTTAAAATAACTTTTAATATATTTATTTTTAAATATTTCTAACCGTTATAATAATTTCTCTCTCTCTCTCTCTCTCTCTCTCATGTATAAATTACTATACAATAAACTGCATTTTATAAATATAGTGCAGTCAGGTCACTTTAACCATCTGATAAATATTGTACCAATATCTCTATTTAAATTATACTTATCATTTATGATTATAATCGTACTTTGTGAATAACCTTGTAAAATCTCACAGAATCTTACCGCATTAAACTGTAATCTGTTTGTTACAGAATATCGCTTATAAATAAAGTGCATTTACATTACAGTACATCCAAAGTGCAGGTGATATGAACACAATTAAAGCAATGTTCCAAATAATACTTTACTTATGAATACTTAAGTTATGAATACTTGTATTTCAAAGAATGTGTTTTAGCTGTAACTGTTGTTATTATTGCTGCATAAATCTTTATGCTCATTTAGGTTATGCTTCAATGTGCACTTGAAATAAAGTATAGATTGGTTAAGGTTTATACAAAAACTTATCATCGTCAACTTAATCATAATTAATTAATTTTAATGATTAAGTCTGCATCAATACTTTTTTTAAATTTCAAGTATTTCGATAGAAACATAAACTAAAATGTACTCTATATGCAGGTGCAATACATTATACAACATTATGGTATAAATAAAGAATTTTTGTAGCAATCATTCATAATCTGCATTGCAGTAAACGTATCATATATTGAATCAGATATTAATTACAACCAGTAATTCCACAAAATTTATTATTAAAAATCACCTATTTTAAATATCTGTGCCCCGATATGTCCGACACATTGGCCGCCACTAATTGTCAAACCGATGCCATGCAATCATTGGAGAAGGTATTAACACACGTGACGTTTGGGGCAATAATTGGCCCAAAGTATGAGAAAATGCTCGACCAAAGTAAGTGTTATCAAAATTTATTTTACAAATTAGTTTAATCATGATTGTCTTAATACTAAACTTATAATAATATTACTTTTAGACGCAAATATTATACAAACACAACCTCAAGAGTCTGAGTATTCGCTGATTTTAGTGGCCAGTCGTGCGAAACAAACGGTTAAAGAGGTGTTAGACTTAACGGTCGACCAGAAATCCGACCCAAAGTTTATATCACTTCTATATAAAGCGTTTACCGGCGAAAAGAGTGGTACGAACGGTACGGATCGGATGTCGGCGGTGGCCGACGAGGAAGAGTGGCGGGGGTTTGCGGTCCGACAGACGGCTACTGTTGGCGCCGACGGCGGGCCACAGGAGGCGCGTATTATATCGCAACATATATACAGGTCTATCAATAGCCAGAAACCCAGCGTTTACTTCATATTTTCAGGTATTAATTTATTACAATAACTCCTTTCTGCCACACCCTGTATGTCATGCATAACATTAACACACTCTATGTTTATCCACAAACAAATTACAGGTCGAGTGCCAAACATAAGCGATCGGATGCCGTCCCTAATGACAAACCGGGCGTTCCGGGAGTCCATCGAAGAGTCGGCCCGTATACTAACCCCACTGGGGGTCGATCTCATGGCATATATAACCCAAACACCGGCCGATCGCCAGAAAGAGACCACCGAAGCGATGGTCACGAGATATCGGATCGTAACCTTTGCCTATCAGATGGCTTTCGTGGACGCCATGAGCGCACTCGGCGTCACTCCCGACGGCTATATTGGTATGTCTATGGGAGAGCTCGGGTGCGCACATTTAGATGGTGTGGCCAATAGAGAACAGTGTTTCAGGCTATTGATGGCCACAGGATTGCCAACAGGTCTACCAGAGGGGCGCAAGTACTTGAGCGCCCTACTCAACTGTCCATGGTCAGAGCTGGACGCACTACTCGCCCCGACAACCCTTATCAGCCCATACGGTCACTGCAACCAAAATCAATCCATGGTTATCGGCGAAGAGGGAGCCGTTCGGGCACTGGTGGCGGACATAAACGCCACTCCCGGCGCCCCCACAGGCAGAACACTGGCTCCGGGCGCGCACTTAATGCACACCGAAGGGGCGTTTGTACCGGATTTTTACAATAGTGTATTAACACGATTGGCCAAAGCGGTACCCGAGTCGGTCGGGCGGGGTCGGGGCCCCAGCCGTCGGTGGCTACTGACAGCGGCTATCAGTCCTGGTGAGGTCAGCTCCGAGTACAAGCCCGCCGGTGCCAACGACTTTTCACTTGTCCAATATTTTGGCCGCGTTTTGGTCTCTCATATGTACGTAAAAGAGGCGGTCGATCGGCTCCCGACCAACGCCCTGGTCATCGATATCGGGTCGGGCGGACGGTTCCGTGACTTTGCCCTTATTGGCAGACCTCAGGCGCGCTATTTTGACATTCAAGGCATTGATTTGAACATCAATTCTCTTTCCGCTTATGGTTTGGACGGACTTTTGCGCGAAATGGGATACTTGTTTACTTCCGGTTGTTTGCCATTATCACTGTGATTGACCATGGTCAATATATGCAAATAATTGTTATACAATATTTATATTTATACTTATTTAGAGTTATATTATATGAAAATAAATTAATGAAAACATAATTTGAATGTTTGGGTAATTGTTCGTTAATGTTGAGTAAGGTTATTTATTATTACAATAATTGTGATAATAATGAAAATATTATAATTTTATATAACGCTTTATTTTCAATAAATTAGCCTCTTTTTATCCCTTTTCTGTTAGCCTTAGTTAAAGTAGAAAACTGTGCATTCTAAAAATCGGCCACTGTACATTTTACTAACTTTTTAACGGTACAGATGAGGGGGTTAATGATATAAACACTTATTAGGCGTTTTGGGCACAAAATATTTTATGGCTGTCATCTATTTTTGAACTGTGAATTCACTATTTTATGTGTTTCCACAAACTTATTATGAAATGCAATGAACGCTAAAATGCTTTACATAATTGTAGCTACAATTTGTTCACACAACACAAGTTTTTAACATTAGGTATTATGTTAAAGAAGTTTATGTTTTAAGAGATGGTTAACATAAAGGGTTAGTTAACAAAAATCATTGTTCACATTAATCATGTTTCTGTATGTTGTGATAACAATAATTTTTTAGTTCAATAACTTTATTTACATTCAATGAATTTTTATCATGATTGTTGCAAAAAAATTTTTTGGAATAACTGTAAATTATACTAATTATACTGTAATTCTTGCTCAATGCTTAATTTATTATTTATACTTTTATCATGACAAATCAACATCATTGATAAAATTAATTATCATCGTCATCAAATATTAATTAATTATTTTTTCGCAACAACATTTTACTTGTAACTAAAATAATACATTAATTGTTAATTAAATTCGTCTAAAATGAATGCAAGCAAACAATCTGATAGTCGGTGCGCCTCCGATGCTATCCTATTCGGTGAGACGACCAAAGACTCTGACGGCCGGGACTGCATCCCGGAGTCGACAGCCGTACTACTGGGCAAAGCAACACATGAGTCAGTGGCCGACAAACTGGACGCTATGGTCGGCGCCGCCAACACTCCAGTGGACGACAACTTAACTTCCCGTTCGGACGAAACCAGTCGTACGGATGGCGTGGTCGACGAGTGGCCCGGGTTTGCGGTCCGACGGCTTAACTGTGACGGAACGGGCTTTGAGCTCATTTCAGGTCACATATCTTACCATACCGGTAGTAATAATAAGACTTAGAACACTTAGTGTTTTAGATGTATAAACAGTAGTTTTAGTATAAAGTTTATAATTTAAAAACTCCTTGGTGATTTTAAAACCACATGATATTAATCTGCGCCAGTATTGTATATTATTTATATTTTAATCCTATTTCATCTTACTTATAATCAATAGTCATAATTTATAACATTTTATAAACATAATCATTTTATTAAATACTAAAGTTATCTTAATGTTATTATTAGACTCAAATGTCGTACGAACACAACCACTAGAGTCCGAGTATTCACTCATTTTAGTGACCAGTCGTGCGAAACAAACGGTTAAAGAGGTGTTAGACTTAAGCGTCGATCAGAAATCCGACAAAAAGTTTGCGTCGCTTTTAGAGAAAACATTTGCCGACGAAAAGAGTCTTACGGAAGACGCGGATCGGGTGTCGGCGGTGGCCGACGACGAGGAGGAGTGGCGGGGGTTTGCGGTCCGACAGATGGCTACTGTTAACGCCGACGGCGGGCCACAGAAGGCGCGCATTGTATCGCAACATATAAATAGGTCTATCAATAGGCAGAAACCCAGCGTTTATTTCATATTTTCAGGTATAAATTTATTACATCAACTTCTTTCTGCCACACCCTGTATTTCATGCATAACATTAACACACTGTATTCACAAACAAACCACAGGTCGAGTGCCAAACATAAGCGATCGGATGCCGTCCCTAATGACGAACCGGGCGTTCCGGGAGTCCATCAAAGAGTCGGCTCGTATACTAACCCCACTGGGGGTCGATCTCATGGCATATATAACCCAAACACCGGCCGATCGCCAGAAAGAGGTCAGCGAAGTTGTGAAGGTCACCAAATATCGTATCGTAACGTTTGCCTATCAGATGGCTTTTGTGGACGCCTTGAGCGCACTCGGCGTCACTCCAGACGGCTATATCGGTATATCTATGGGAGAGCTCGGGTGCGCACATCTGGACGGTGTTGCCGATAGGGGGCAGTGTTTTCGACTATTAATGGCCATCGGACTGCCCGATGGTCTACCTGTTGGGCGCAAACATATGTGCGCCACAATCAACTGGCCATGGTCAAAACTGGACCAACTACTTGCCTCAACAGTTCTTATCAGTCCATACGGTCATCACAACGAAAATCTATCGATGGTTGCGGGCGAAGAGGGGGCCGTCCGGGCACTGGTAGCCAACATTAACACCACGTGTGGGGCGACCACCGGCAGAACAGTAGCTATTGAGGTACACTTAACTCACACCGAAGCTGTGTTTGTACCGGATTTCTACGATACTGTAACAAAACGATTTGCCAAAGCGGTACCCGAGTTGGTAGGGCGGGGTCGAGGCCCCAGCCATCGATGGCTACTGACAGCGGCTCTCAGTCCGGGTGTGGTCAGCCCCGAGTACAAGCCCACCGGTACCGACGACTTTTCACTCGTTCAATATTTTGCCCGCGTTTTGGTCTCTCATATTTACACAAAAGAGGCGGTCGATCGGCTCCCGACCAACGCCCTGGTCATCGATATCGGGTCGGGCGGACGGTTCAGGGACTTTATCCTTTTGGGTAGACCTCAGGCCCGCTATTTTGAGTTTAAAGGCAATCAATTCAGTGATTTGTACACTAATTCTGTGTCCGCCTATAGTTTGGACGGACTGTTGCGCGAAATGGGATATTTGTTTACTACCGGTGTTTTACCATAAGCACTGTGCAAATAATTATCAACAAAAAGTTTATAATAATATAACTAATAAATTAGTTTATACGGGAAAAGAGTTTTCCAAATTAACCTTGGATTATTTTTTTACTTAGGTCTTAGGGTAGCCTAGATTATAGTTAAAATTAATATGTATTTTTAATAAAATTACAAAAATTATAAAACAATCATTACAAATAATTGTTTAAGAATATTGTTTAGAATAAAATCATAATTACCAGATAATGATTTTATTATCTGCAGCGATAATATTGTTTATTAAATAATCATGTTTGTTTAGCGGTTATATCCCTTGTGATAATATTATCATAAAATATTGCTTGGGAAATAAAATAAACAATTAATTTTAATAAATGTTTTCATTTATTTGACCATATAAATTAGATTTGTTAAAACTATTTTTAGTTTAATAGATTAGTATTATTAATATTCAAATATAATTAATTTAAATTAACACAAATATTTATATTAATCAGTGATTAATAATCACTGGTTATGTACTTTTTTATTATATGAAGTATTTGATAGAAACATAAACTAAAATGTACCCAATATACAGTTGCAATACATTATACAACATTATGGTATAAAATAAAGGATATTTATGTAGCAATCACTCATAAGCTACACTGCAGTAAACGTATCATAACTCAAATCAGATATTAATTTCAACCATTAATAAACTTTTATTTGTAAACTTATCATTAAAAATCACCTAGTTCCAAATATCTGTACCACGATATGTCCGACCCATTGGCCGTCACCAACTGTCAAACCGATGCCATGCAATCATTGGAAAAGGTATTATCAAACGTCACGTTTGGAGCAATAATTGGCCCAAAGTATGAGCAAATGCTAGACAAAAGTAAGTGCTATCAAAATTTATTTTACAAATTATTTTCATCATGATCATTTTAATCTTAAACTTGTAATAAAATTACTTTTAGACTCAAATGTCGTACGAACACAACCGCAAGAGTCCGAGTATTCACTCATTTTAGTCGCCAGTCGTGCGAAACAAACGGTTAAAGAAGTGTTAGACTTAACTGTCGACCGGAAATCTGACCCAAAGTTTATGTCACTTTTGGACAAAGCATTTGCCGACAGAAAGATTGGTAGAAAAGGTACGGATCGGGTGTCGGCGGTCACCGACGACGAGGAGGAAGAGTGGCGGGGGTTTGCGGTCCGACAGACGGCTACTGTTGGCGCCGACGGCGGGCCACAGGAAGCGCGCATTTTATCGCAGCATATATACAGGTCTATCAATAGCCAGAAACCCAGCGTTTGGTTCATGTTTTCAGGTATAAATTTATTTATTGCAATAAATCCTTTCTGCCACACCCTGTATGTCATACAAAACAGTAACACATTCTATGTTTATTCACAAACAAACCACAGGTCAAGTGCCAAACATTAGCGATCGGATGCCATCCCTAATGACAAACCGGGCGTTCCGAGAGTCCATCGAAGAGTCAGCCCGTGTACTAACCCCACTGGGAGTCGATCTCATGGCATATTTAACCCAAACACCGGCCGATCGCCAGAAAGAGACCACCGAAGCGATGGTCACGAGATATCGGATCGTAATGTTTGCCTATGAGATTGCTTTCGTGGACGCCCTGAGCGCACTCGGCATCACTCCCGACGGTTATATCGGTATGTCTTTGGGAGAGATCTTGTGCGCACATTTGGACGGTGTGGCCAATAGGGAGCAGTGTTTTCGTCTAGTGATGGCTATTGGACTGCCTGAAGGTCTGCCCGCGGGGCGCAAATACTTGAAGGCACTAATCAATTGTCCATGGTCAGAGGTGGGCGCACTACTCGCCCCCACAACCCTTATCAGCCAATACGGTCATTGTAACAAAAATCAAACCATGATTGTCGGCGAAGAGCAAGCCGTTCGGGCACTGGTGACCAATATTAACGCCACTCCCGGCGCCCCCACAGGCAGAGCACTGGCTCCGGGCGCGCACTTAATGCATACCGAAGGGGTGTTTGTACCGGATTTCTATGATAGTGTATTAAAACGATTTGCCAAAGCGGTACCCGAGTTGGTCGGGCGGGGTCGGGGTCCCAGCCATCGATGGCTATTGACAGCGGCTATCACTCCAGGTGTAGTCAACCCTGAGTACAGCGCCGGGGCTAAAGACTTTTCACTTGTGCAATATTTTAGCCGCGTTGTGGTCTCTCATATGTACGTAAAAGAGGCGGTCGATCGGCTCCCGACCAACGCCCTGGTCATCGATATTGGTTCGGGCGGACGGTTTCGGGACTTTATCCTTTTGGGTAGACCTCAGGCCCGCTATTTTGACATTCAAGGCAATGATGTGAACATCAATTCTGTGTCCGCCTATGGTTTGGACGGACTGTTGCGCGAAATGGGATACATGTTTACTGCCGGTGTTTTGCCATTAGCACTGTGATTCACCATGGTAACTACACACATAATCTAAATTACTTTTACCAACCATGACACTAGTAGCACGTCCAGTGCATGCCTATAGTTCGGGCGTCAATTCAAACAATTTATAAAACATGTTTAAAAATTTTATGTTTTTTGTCAAAATTTAAACTGTATTCGTGTTTTTTTTAATAATTTGCTGTTATCATGTTCGTTTTTCTAATCTGTGAGACAATACAGTTCTGTGTACTAAAAATACTTAAATTATTCAATATATCGAAATACAACCGAATGGGAAATAAATGTATAATTTTAAAATATTTAATACAAAATTTATTATTATAGTTATAATTAAAACACATTATTTTGAATAAAACATTTTAAATCATTTTTAATTTTAGTTAATAGATTTAAACTAAATAAATTAATGTAAACATAATTTTTGCTTCTTATAAGTTAATAACTAATAACTTATAATTATTATACATAAGCGATTGAGTACCTGCTTATTGAGATTAACGAGGGTACTTATTATAACTTTATTTTAGTTTTTACAAATGTAATTAATTATTAAATCACTTAATACTAAGTTAGTAACTAACTCATTTGATATTATATTATTAATTTTGCATTAAAAATTAATTTAAAAAAGTTTAAAATAAAATAACAAATAAATTAGTTCCAAATTAACTTTAAGTTTACAGTATTGACTAACAACAAGCTCATTATAAGCCATAAATTATTTTAAAGTTTCTTATAAATTAAAAAATTGAAATAACCTATTTAAAAATATATTAATTTAAAATATATTCTGATTTAAAACAGTTTTGCAGAAATCTAATAAGTAATCTAATTAAAAATTGCACCAACATTAAACTTATTTAGTGTAAAACTGTTGGCAATAGCGTCGGTACTTCACAATAGCCTCGTCATTGCGGGTAAACACCGGGCGCTTAGGTCTCTGACTGTTTGTCCAAATCATAATATCGCCCGAAATCTATTTTAAAACCGCAAACAATGATTTAACTTATTTAAAATAATATTATTATCAAAACCAGCTATAATTTGTTATGTTTAATTATGGGTCAAACATAGTAACAAAACTCACCTGGCTGTTTACCAAATATTGAAAGCCCAATGGAAACAATGAGCTTAAAGTGGATCGCTTAGTGTACAAGAGTGTTGTCATGAGGGTCTGGTCGTGCCGTATGGGCACACATATGGCCGCCGTTAATAAAATGCCGCCAAACGAGTGCTCAGTGCCCACGGCTAACGTGGCCAACACTGGCGACCATTGGTGCAAAATAAATGGTATTGTGGCCATGGTGCGTTTAAACACGCATAGTGTCATGGTGCCCTGGACAACTGGTGCCGGTTCATGGCCGTAATCTGAGCTAATTGAATATTTCAAACTAGCTACATAGGGTATGAGCTCGCTGTGCACGTAATTTGCGTGGTGTACGTCCGATGAATTTTCTATCATCATCTAGCACCATGGTTAAATAATTAATTTGTTATAATTACATGAATATTCAAGTTTAATACTTTACCTGAAAGGAAGTTAATACCATATGTGGATATGTTTGTTGTAGAACAAGCTTTGTATTATGTTTGACTAAAAAATCTTCGGGGTAATAATCGGGGTCCGAGTCTTCCGAGTGATGCCAAACATATATCACTTCATTTTTCTCTATTGTCTGCCATTTCTTTACCACAGCTTTCACTGCCTTTAATTCAGAATCTATTTCAAAGTCAATATTATTTAAAAATTAGTTTTAATTAATTTATAAATACATGTAATCTATTGTTATAGACATACGATTGAGATTAGGTATGCGTTTGCA